TCTCTCGTTTCATCCGACTGTGCTGGATCAATCATGCTGCAATCATATTGGGGTTTCTAAGATAAAGGAGCCCTAATAATGTATTTGTTTTTTAAAATGTAGTCCCTAATTTAATATAGGCCTTTACTTAAGTGGTTGAGATGCAGTTGGATGTTAAAAGTGCCTAATACAAAGTGAGAGGCCCCGAATAGATTTATTTCAGTTCCAACCAAAGGGTCAAAAAGAGGTTTAGGGTATTATTAAAGGTACCGAATTTGTTTGATTAATCCCGTCAACTTCTGAAGTAGCAGGGTAGGGACTGTTTATTACTCTGTTAAAGTGGGGTGTGAATGGTTGGTGGTGGTCGGAGGGGCTGAAGGCACAGACTGGTTGCCTCGCACTTGTCAGTCTCCCCCAGGGCAGCTGTGGCCTCAGTTGTAGTTTATCACCACCGTGTATGGAGTGAACGAACAATGCCATGTGAGTCTCTTCTTTACTAAAAAATATGATCATGTCTTATTAGAATACCATTAATAGTTTACACACTGAGAGCTGATTGGCTAAGTGAAGGTGGTCCTCTCTTGTTCACTTTTCTGTCTCAAAAAGCTGATCTAAAGATATGACAGAGGCCCAAAAAACATGCATGAGAAAACTAGCGACAGAACCGAACTGTTTTGAGAGGTAGAAACTATTTACATGTATTTTGTAAGTTATGTTTGTGTGCTTTCATCCTCCAGCTTTAAGCAAATGGATAAAAAACTCCCCAAATCCCAGTGGGAAGAAGAAAAACCTTGGAGACGGTGGGCGGATAGGCACACATCCATTTCCAGATCAAATTCAATAACTGCAGATAAACAACAATTGATTCCTTCATTGATTGTAAACTTAGACGCAAAAGCAGCACCCCTGAGAGATTTCATTTAAAAACTAAAAATGTAATCCTGACAGAGATGTGAAGGATTGTATAGGGAACACATGAAGCCTTGTTGGTGTCATCTTTCTGTATAGCCGACATATTTTAATCTTCAAATAACTTTTTCTGCTTTAGTATTTGCAGACAGCATACATTTATAGTCACTTGTGCTTGTAACGTACTCCTCTATAGATGGCAGAGATTAGAATCCACCCGATGCAGGCCCTTTGAACATTTCATGGTTGGTGTCTTTAAAGATTTTGCTGGTTATTGTGGGATAGACTTTGGATTTTCTCTCATTCTTTTCAGCTCCCAATGACGGCAGATTGGAGTTTTTGTGTGGCCAAAAACAGCAGCCGGGTAGTGGTCCCTTGCCTAATTGGTGTGGGACCATCTGTCGGTCTTAATTTCCTTATTACATAACTATCAAAATAAACGGCTCCATCCCAAATGCAACGGCACCATGTTGAGATCTCTCATGCAATTAAGTATTCATGCACATAATATGGTTGAGTTTTGAAACAACACTCAAAAGCATGTTCCGAGGGAGGGTCGCCAGTGCTAAAAGTATACGCCAAAGTTAAAGCTGGGGTTATTGTTTCTCTCATAGAAAGAAAATATATCAGACTACCTTCATCGCAATAGAAACTTGTCATCTATTGCAGAAAAAGCCATGTAATTCACTATTTGATGTTTCAGGCTTTTCTGTCTACATGTGAAAAACTAGTGATAAAAAAAAAGATTTTGTTTATCAGTTGTTACATAAACCTTTATATTTTAACTTCAATTCAATTCAAAAAGCACGAGCCTATAAAACCCCCACACTAATGACCATTTGTGTTTACATTTTATATTCAACTAAAGATCTCTTAAATTGTTGTTATGATCATTTTCTAATACAGTATTATTGGAGGTTGTTAGGTGTTGTAGCTGTTTCGCAAATTCTTTTGTGTGCAATTTTACCTGTTTTAATTTTTAATTTTTTTTACAGTGTGCTTCTAATGTGCTGCACGCATACTCCAACACTATCATATGACGTAACATGACAGTAATTTATATTTAGAGTTAGAAGAAAACCTTTGTGGCTTGTAGGATCTACAGCGTGGTGACCTCTGGCGCTGTATTTTAAAGTTTTTTCACAGCTTTTTACAGCTATAGGAGCGCTCAGACCATGGGTGCACTCGTGAGTTTAGGTGGTGAGGGGTTTCAGTCTTAAAACGTACTGTTGCTATTTCATGAATGTAGCTTATCGCGGGTCTGCTGTCTGAAAGCATATGTCCATACGTTTTAAAAGGGAGAGAGCACCAGCAATTCACAGAGCACCATTCCCTCACTGGTCCTCCTGCAGGTGTTGAGTTCACAGGAGGAGGCTGCTCTGTCGATGAGAGCATAGCCTTGATCTTTCAGATGGGGCTTCAGGCAAAGGGGGGTTAAGTGTTTTGCCCAAGGACATAATGACAGAAGACATCAGTGGGAGGCGGTGAAGAAGGTCTCGTGGTGGGCTTGAACCCACAACCACCTGCTCTAACTTAGCCACGTCACCTCGATAAAAACAACAAGAACAAAGCTGACTCTGACATTGAGATAAATTGTCTTGAATGACTTGTATGTCACTGTAAGCCAACTTTGTGGATTATTCTCAGTGCTCTTCCACACGGTGGAAGAGCACTGTAGTTCGCTTTGTTGTGGTTTTAAAAGTTACGTACCCCAGCTTTAAAGAGCACAATGATGAACTGTATAGTTTGTACAGATGCAGACGTGGGTGTGAGGAAATGCCACGCTGAATCACTGACATCTGTTACATAAGAGAGTAGTTCTGAATTCAGAGCAGGGCTGTATGCAATATTTACTGCGCCTTTGAAAACTGTCTTTAAGCAACATTTACCCCTGATGTCAATTTTGAAATGCATGCGTTTACATCTATGTTCTATAGCTTTCCGTATGTCACAATTGAAATATAGGTCCAATAACTGCAAGTTTTGAAATGATAAATGCTATCATTGCAATATCACGCTCTGCTTCTGTATCCATATTGTAACACTTTATGAAGGCTGTTGAAAGTGATGGATGCAAAGGACAGCAACTATTTCCTGTGCAAGGCAATACTTTGTCAAGACGTGAAACTCAAATTCCAAATGAGAAATAAATGTAAGGAGTGAACGCGGCGGGTTTCTGGGGCGTTCCGACTTCTTGAGTGAAGAACAAGTGAGCTTGCTTGGTATTCTCTGTGTGTCCAAATGTATGAGTGCTCGGAAAATGAAATTTAATGATGACAGTGTTGGATCAGCAGAAACCCACTGGAGGCTCAATATTTCTGGCTGATATGATAAACGGGGTTGAGATTCACTAATCTACTCCCCCAGAAAGGGAAATGAGAGATCGCTATCGCTCCGTTTTTCACTCTTCCGCTCAAACATTCCTACTTTAAAAGGAAGAGATGAAAGTCGAAGATGAATAAGCTCTAGAAGCAAGATTTTATTGGGATGTGCTTTTGCATTTCTCTGCATGTGTGAACAAAGAAGCCGAGACTCTAGTTTCTTTACAATCTGTTATTGACAAGTGATAATCCGCAAAAAATTAACACTTACCAGCATACATTCACCATTTCTTTTCTTTCTAGTGTAAAATATTGTTTATAGCTGGATTTACTTTTGTTAAATCCAGCAAGATCAATTGAGTTCCATACAAATGTTTTTATGTGAACAAAGTTTGTATGTACTGTTTATGGCCTTGTAGTATCCCAGTGGCTATAAGACACGTCAGCATGGAGCCTTTACTTTTGATCATGGTTGTGTCTACAGCAGAGAAAACCTTTTTAAACGGGTTTAACGTCCTCAAGACCCCTCTGATGGAAAGCAGAGACACCATGTTGACCATTCATACAGCTACTGGGACACTCTACAAGGTTAAATATGCAATAAATGGTTTTTTTTAATGCCATACTGTGAAAATTTCCAGTTACATTTCAGCCTTTCTCTTTTGTGTAAACCTGTTCTACTCAGACGTCAGAATGACTTAAACTAGTCTTGGGAAACTGAAGGTCTGAGGCACTTACAGTATTTAACAATCTTTTATTAAGGAAGGCCGAAGAACAAACTTTGGCTCAGATATTCATACTTTATAAGTCAACTCCAAAATATGACATACATTTTAGGCAATAATGTCTGGATTGATTAACCTTCAAATTAGCAATTCTCAATTGTACTAATCAATTGAACTGTTTCTTTGAAGGACTTCACAAAGCTGTCGATTTACCAAAAACAGATCAGAGAATCACATAGGAGCCATTGGTCCATAGGGAGTGTGATGGCCAATGTCCATTAATGTTTATACATTTTCATAAATGTTCTTGAATGTGTATATATTGAGCCCTGGCACACCTTTTTCATGTAAGATAATCAGATGGCACACCAGCTGAAACTGATGCAAACATGTAAATCTGCAGCCTTTATTAAACAAAACAAAGTCATTCTTATCAAGGTGTATTATATAGAAAATCAAAGAAGTGCAAAGAAGTATTTCTAATCTTCTAATTCTTTTTTAAATTTCACATTACTTTGACCGAGTAGGTGATATTAGATATTTCCCCAAGGCACACCAAATTCCACCTCAAGGCACACTAACGTACTACAGCACACTGGTTGAAAAACACTGCCCTGGATAATGTCCTAAGAGAGTCCTTAGACTCTCCTGCATCGGCAAGGAACAACAGAATAAATATATTTGAGAAACATCGGGGAGGTCCAAATTGCAAGAGGGATCCACTCCCACAGACAGACAGGCTATACATGTAGATCCAGGACTCAGGATGTAGAACAAAAAGTTTGTTTTTTTCACTAGTGTCCACACGCATGTATATTTAGTCACATCAAGCGAATCCTAGAGGACAACATTTGGTGGTTGTATTTGTTCACAAAAATGTTTTTCTTTCGGTTGTGTCACAAAAGTAAGTGTCCCATCAGTCAGTCTCACAAAAGCTTTCAAATGTTATGAAATTGCGTTCCATTTTGCCCATGCCTTTGAAATGTGCCATTACTGAAAACGAGATTAGAAGCGACACGGTGAGATCTGGGGAAGTTGACCTCGTGCTGTGAAACTTTTGGTGCAGGTGCGACGTTTGATGTGGCCATGCGTTTCCTGTCTGAGTGTCCGTGGAAGAGGCTCCAGGAGCTGAGGGCTTTGATCCCGAACGTCCCATTTCAGATGCTGCTGAGAGGGGCCAACGCCGTGGGCTACACCAACTACCCCGATAACGCTGTCTTCAAGTGAGTCCATGCTTCCATAAATGTGATATCTGAACTCTATGTGCGTTGTGAACAGTGTTGGGTGTAACGCGTTACTAAGTAACGCGTTACTGTAACGAAATTACAATTTGAGTAACGTAGTAGTGTAACGCGTTATTATGAAAATACGTTTCATTATATTACAGTTACTACCTAAATACTTCGTTACCGGCGGCACCGGCCTCGGGAAAGCAGGGGAGAACTGCACTACCGCTCCATGCGTGCCTGCGTGCTTACGTCACGCTGCGCACATGAGCGAGATTGTTTGTAAAGCAACATGGCAGAGTCAGAGGAGAAGAGTTCTTTTTACCGGTGGAGATATGCACACTATTTCAACTACATCAGTCAAAAAGATAAAAACGTTGTCGTGGAGTGCAAGCTTTGCGCGGGCAGCAAGCGATTGTCCACCGCAGCCAACTCATCCTCGAACCTTTTAAAAAAAAAGCGCCCCAGTAGAGAGGCTGTTCAGCCTGGGCAGCCTGGTGCTAACTCCAAGAAGGAATAGGTTGTCAGCTAAACGATTTGAGAAACTATTGCTACTCAGGTACAACCATTACTTTGAAAAACAACAACATTAGAGTTAGTTGTTAAACAGTTAAACTGTTACTTTCTGCACTTTTGATATGTTAAAATGAAACTCAGGTTGTTGTTGTTTAAATAGTTTTATTTTATTATTTAAAAATGTTTTTTTTGCACTACCAGCCAGTAGTCTTGATGACTAAACTGCCTTAATTTAATTGTCCTGGCTGCTATAGTAATTTACTTTCGTTAATGTTATGCCATTTGAGCCAGTTTTGATTTGTTGTTGACCTTTATTTAAATGGCTTTAATAAAGCAAACATACAAACTTGATTCTGTTCTCTTTTTTGCGACACGAAGTAATCCAAAAGTAATGTAACTTAGTTACTTTCTTGGGGCTGTAACTAAGTAATGTAACTAATTACTTTTTTTAGAAGTAACTAGTAATTTGTAACTAATTACATTTTCAAAGTAACTTACCCAACACTGGTTGTGAATATTATGAGAACATTTACACATGAATGGGTTTCAATTCACTTTTACATTCTGGGGGCAGCGATCAGATGAAGAAAAACGGAGAACGCAAATGTCTCAAGAGCTAATTCTGCTTTCTGATTGAATTAATCGGGTCGAGAACTACAATATTCAAGTGTATTTTTGTATAGCCCTTAATCACAACAGGAGTCGTTCCGGAGGGCTTCATAAAGTTCTGGATTTGCCATCAGCAGATCAGAGAATCAAACAGCTGAAACATTATTAAATGTTAAAGCTGGGTTAATTATTTTTTTCTTTATACTAGGGATGTACCGAATCCAGATTTTTGGGGTTCGGCCGAATACCGAATCCACTGGTTAAGATTCGGCCGAACCGAATACCAAATCCTACTCCATCCTCAGTCCATTAATGTTTCATATGCAAATGTTTTAACAGCGGCAATGTTGTGTACTGTTTAGGGTCCTTACCACCATGAGACAAATCAGCGTTGCAAATTGGACATGTAGCTTGACTAGAATCACCTTCTTTGGACTGAAAGTACTGCCAAACAACACTTTTTCTGCTCACAAGTTCCATTTTCACTTCCTCACTCACACAGCCTAAGCTACTGTAGCCGCACAGCTAGCACCCAGATGCGTTCAAAGGCATAAGGAAATGAGGCTAACGCATATAGTTTAATTCTTGATTAGATTCACTGTCCTTTACTTGTTTAATCATCATACACCTGTTATGTGTATCCCTGTGTTGTATTTCTGAAATAATTATTGGGAAAAAAATGGTAAACTGTCCATGTTTTCCGCATTTCCGTGTGCCTTTGAACGCATCTAGCTAGCTACCAGCTACTAGATGTATTTTTTTCCTGCCATTTCTCCTATTTAACTTTGATACATATGAGCACAAATCAATAATATAATCTGTATATAACAACAAAAACTGTTTACATGTTTATTTACACTATTGACATCCGCAAACTAAACTTCCGGACAAATCCGGTTTCCAGGACGAACGCAGCAGCCACACATGGATCTATTAGCAGCCACAGCGTGCATAGTGTAAGCGCAGGGTTCGGTTCGGTGGGGAAAAATTCCCCGTCAAAAAAGCCAATATTCGGCCGAAACCGAATCCTGGATTTGGTACATCCCTACATATGACATGTTGTTTGCCCGTAACAGAAAAAGCCTTCTAAAAGTAAAATTTGAACTAGAAAACAATTTTACATTCTATACTAAATATCTGTGGAGCAGAAGAACTGTGCTTTACAAATAAACTTTCCTTACTTATATAGACAGAACCTGTCGAGTCACTATTTGACTTTGGGCTGAAAGCTGATTGGCTGAGGGAGGATGATCCATTAATTTTCCACTATTCCGTCTGAAAAAGCTGATCGAAAGATGTAACAGAGGCCAAAAATACACTTCTCTGCCCCCCATGCTTTCTCCTAGTATCTTTGCCTGGACATGGCCCCATGGCCCCATGGCTCCACCACAAGGGACCTGCAGCCTGCTCCCCACTTTCTCTCTGTCTTCCCCTTTCTGTCTCCAGGTCTTTCTTTTTTGGTCGCAGATGCACTTAGTGTGCCCTTCAGGGCCAAAAGCGTATTCTCTGTCAAAAACAAAACAATACATGCATAAAAGTGGTAAAAACACAAACAATCTGTATTAAAACCCCTGCACCCTGACAAATCCACATTCAAACTCTGATCAGAAAGAGCCTCTCTGTATATGATTTGTTCATTTTGACCTTGTGGTAGATGTCGTTTAAAATGAAAATCTTATATACTGTAAAAATATTGTATTTCTTCAATAAGTACACAAATCCACTTGTTTAAATGATAATACCTCAATGCTTTTTGATATTTTCTGTACAAACATTATGAAGCATATACATCAAATCAAATTCAGATGGAATTCTTTGGCTTTGGAGATCCTTGACAAGAAATGCAACAACCTACTTTACTGATCTAGAGCCAAAACAAATAGTTTTGGCTCTAGATCTAGCTCTAGTACAGTGTGGCCAATTGCTACTGACATGGTTATCCTGGTTTATATGTATAGCATCTAAACATAGAAAAACAATGACATAGTTGTAATACAAACCACTTAATGTATAGATTATGTCATTCAGATCTTGGCTCAGGACAAAATGAGGAAAAAGGAACTGTACTACAAATACAGTATTTTCCTATGTACATCAGCTGCTCGCTCCAACTCAAAAGCTTACTTCTTTGTTGCTGCCTTGTTGAGCCAGCTGCTGCTCCTAGATCATGGTTTGTCTGTTTAAGCCATTTCCGGTGAAGGTCATGTGGGTGATCAACAGTTTTGCTGTTGTATGGTTTGTAATGAAGTTGTCAGTAATAATAAATGAGACCAATAAATATTTGTGTTGATGCACAAACTGGCATAATGTGTTTTTCGTCTCAGATCAAATAAGACAACACTAATAATGAGACGGATAGGTGAAAAATAATGAGATACTTGCATATATTTTTGGCTTCAGTCACATATTTCGATCATCTTTTTCAGACAGAAAAACCAAGACAGCATGACGTGGTCTGATTTGTTCTCAAACTGTTAATTTTTACAAGACTGTTTGGACCAACATTTTAAACTATGTACAAACAGTTAGATACCCTATAGCTTTAAGATTAACAAAATATGAGTCACTGTATTGGACAGCTGTGGTGAAGAGAGAGCAGCGTCTGCAGTCAGAGCTGTATTAGACTGTTCCCTGGGGACCCAGGACACATTGGCGTGACTATGTCTGACGGGGAGGTCTGAGCATCTCTGCTTGGACTGCCGCCCACACAACTCAGCAATGGATAAAGTGGAAGTAAATTGATGGGTGTCAAGCAATGATCATAACAGGCTTAGTAGCAGCTCATGAAATGCAACATGCATGTCTTTCTGAAATCAATGAAACTTTATTGATTAGGCACTTTCCGCAGTAAGCAATGCTAGATGCTTTATAGTTCAATAATACTAATCCACATGCCCAACGACCCATCAACCCAACCAGTCCCTAACAACCTAGAACTTCATTTGCATCTCATCCATCCCCACAAACCACACTAAAATGTGGTTTTCAGAAAGGGACAGATCCTTTGTTCCTTTGGCTATAAGGCTGTACAACAAATATGTCAGGGTCAAGCCTGTTGACTTCATTACTGTTGTCACTTTTAGAAGTATGTATTGAGGGTTGTGTTGAAGATTTTGTTTCTGCTGTTGAACACCGGAATACTTTATCTTCAAGGGATAAATAATGTATCTATCTATTAATCCATCTATCTAAATAAATAAATAATTCATTTACATTTTGCTCATTTTTAATCTGCAAAGTCTGACCTGCATGTTTTGGATTTAGATTTTTCTAGGATTCTAAGATTCAATCAATTTAAGCCATGAAGCCCTTGCAACGAGGTTTGTCTGAATTCAGTATTAGTAACTCAAGGATGGTCTGGTGTCACATATTTCTGATTCACTTTGCTACACATCATATAGAAGGCTGTGTTGATCGGGAAGAATTAAAAAATAGACCTGGTTACAAGTGTGATTGCTGTTGCCTCTGTAGTCATTTTTCAACACATCCCCAGTGACTCATTAATTTATCAGTATTTTAAAACTCAACAAAGGAAGTAGCTAAATAGATTAAAAGAAATGTATTCAAACGTGTTCACATGTTTTTCAAAGCTCCAATGCCGAGTTGGAGGACACCGCTTTAAACGAGCATTCCACATTTAATTCGCTATTCAGACTCTACAAATATGACTGAAGGAAAAACAGCAATTTACGCCATGTTATGTTTTCAAAACTGTACCTAAATCGGGCCAATAACTAGACCGGCTCCACTTTTCCAGCCTGACGAAGCTCAAATGACTTTCTAAACCGCTTGTATTGAAAAGCTCATTTCGCCAGTCTGCATCCAGCATCAGTGCTCCATACTGCGATGAGATGCAGCACATTAGGCTAGCC